TATTTTTTATATATGTATATATATATATATATATATATATATATATATATATATTCATTCGGTGATTATGTCATGGTTTGGGTCTGGTGGCAGAGAAAAACGGTGCAGCCAGTGAAAAATGGAGGGAAACTAAGGCGATACATAATTAACTGTCTCGAGCCAGTGTTCGTCATAGACCACTCCACCATCACACGGGGAAATCGTATTGTTGTTTATTAGATAAAGTACAGCTACATTATCATTACCGTTATTATTATTATTTATTATCGTTATTTTTAGTATCATTTGTATATTATCGCTGTGGTTTATGTTATTACTATACTACTATCATTGTCTGTATCCTCAACCAGTTCACTARACATCTAGAAAACAACAACAGTGAGCCATTCGCAGTTCTCGTCGTTGTGACTACTGAACTTTTAGTGATACACATTTTAAAATATTAAAGACTTTTGAACGGAAACATCAATCGATCTACTCACTAAACGTCATGATCTCCACACTACCAACCAGGGTAAGTCACTACATAAAATTATTTACGTGGGTAAAAACATTATAAGAAAAATACATCATCTGCATTCTGAATGTTGACCACAGGCATCTTAACGATCGAACTTATTCCCTCAAAAATAATTTCTCGGAAAATTCTTTGAACCGTTTTGTGAAATATTTGCATGGAATCTATRGATAGACTCTACATACACGCTATATGATACACAATAATGTGGTATTGTGGTGTAATGTATTATTTGCATGTCGCCCACAATAATTAGGATAAACACAGTAGAAATATAATTACTATTAAACGTCTGCCTTTAATAACCACAGACAAAAGACAACAGTTCCATAGTTAATAGTTTGTAGTATTATATATCGTACTTTTCAGTTTTTCATTATAAATACAAACATATATACAGCCCAATAAATCATAAATTCKCAAGTAAAAAATCTTTAGTTAACTTATATAAAATATTGGTAAGTAATTGTATCATACACAATATTATATATAGGTATTATTATTTTGATTTTTGATACCTCCATCATAAATAGCTAAAATGAAATTGGAGATATTTTAGAATTACTTTTGTTTTAGTACATTATTATGTGATCGTATTTTAATATTGTATTATATTACATTAATGATTAAGCTGAGTAAATGTTTTACAATAGATTATTTTTGTATGTAAATTTATAATATATACAATATACATACAAAG